GGTAGGAGAGAAGGTGGGAAATGTAGATTGGTTAAACTATCAAGAAGTTTCAAGTGTCTATATCCTATAGAACATGGGGGAAGACTGGGAATGTAACATGCAAGATGGAAGGGAAGTGGCTGAGACAAGGAGAGGAACCTCATTTTTGAAGTTGCTGTAAAACTTGGAATACTAGTAATAATGGTCAACCCTAGGGCGGGAACCAGAAAGGAGTGAGCCAGTGTAACGGTGACCTTCAAGTGCTGGCTTCTTGAGGGCTTAGAGAAAGGGGAAATCTGTAATACTTTCAACAGTAAAGATCTTTAAAAAAAATTTTTTTTTTAAAGAAATTATCCAAACGAATGGATTTTCAATTTGTGTAATTGAGAGGCTTTAATAGAAATTTGGAAACTAAAAAGAGTTGCTACTTAGGTAAAAGTAAATCTCAGCAGTGAGTTGAAACTAAGTTTGCCTAGTTTGGAGAAAACTAGACATTGGTGAGTTAAGAAGGAAGTACCCATCATTTCTCGAGCACCTACTGTGTGTCGGGTGCATTTGGTTCATTCTCTCACTTACTGCTCGCCCCAGGTTTGTAAACAATGCTCCTGGCCACAAACTGTGGATGAAGGTACAGTCTCAGGGAGGCTAAGTGTATTGCTAATGACTCGGACACACTCAGACATGGAACTGAGGGAGCAAGTCTGTCTGATTTGGGAAATCATCCATCAAGAACACAGCACTGAAATGACAGAGTCAGATAAAATCTCGAAGGGAAAGTACAGAAAGTGAAAAGGGCAGGCTGTGGGCAGATCATTAGAAACAATGTTTTTTCAAAGCCAGAGGAACATGGTCAGGAAAGATTTTGACACAAAGAACATGAACTAATACTGATGATCACATACCTATTACAGGTCTTTAGTGGAAGAGCTCTATTTCTTAGACAATCTGGTTCTGAATTCTACTAGAGGCAAATTGCTCGATTTCTCTGAGACTACTTCCTTTCTTGCAATGTGGAGATAATAATCTTTCCTCTAAGGGTTTTTATGGAGAATGAAATGAGAAGCTAGATGTGAACATGTCTGGTACAGTAGGTACTCAACAAATGTCTGCTTAAAGTACAGGTGACAAGGCAGCGAGTACACACCCCGCAGCGTGGCCTGGAATGTTACTCTAGAAATTGCTGTATTATACTTTTTAGTTTTCCTGTGACTTGTTTCTTTTCCTCCAAAGTTGAATTAAAGCATGTATTTCTGATTAAGGATTCCAGTTAGTTGCATTTTGGCACCCCAAAATCTTATTCCATCATAGCCTCACTGGAACAACAGACTTCTTTTAAAAAAGTTAATTTAAAACTGTGAGATATTGCAACAAGATGGAGACTAAAATGGAGATTCAGGAAACCCATTCTCCACTCTCTCCCTTGTAGTTATGGTACCTAAGATCTTGGGGAGTAATGAAAATCAAGACAGGCTATTAGCTGGCAGCACGTAAGAAATTCGGACTGTATTCATCATATCCTCCACATCATGGGAGTCAGGAAAGGTCCCAGATCCAGCCTAACATGGAAAGAGGCCTGTCCACCATATCCAACTAGTCGCCAAGCCCCGAAGTCTAGAGCTTTAAGGTCAGCCTTACATTGACTCACTCTTTCTGGGTCCCACCCTAGTTCAGATCATTACCAGCATCCCAAACTTTATAGCAGCTTCAGAAATGATCTCCTTCTCCTTGTCTCACCCAATTCCCTTCTATCCCATTATTTTCCCATCAATCTTCTTTTTAAAAAACAAGCATTTTACAAGCTTCAGTATTAGAACTCCGCAACGCTGGCTCCACCAGCTTCATTCCTGCATACCCTACCCAAGAGACCACAACGGAAGGATTCTAAGTCATGAGTTAAGCTGCCCTACTCAATTCATTTGGTCATTAAATGTTTCTAACAGTAATGCCAGGAGTGAGTCATTTCTGTATTCCACAAAGATTATCAGGGAAACAATGCTTCTTGAGTATTTTCATGTTTCTGCATGGTTTGGCTTCCTCCGCAAAGGCAATTGCCATGCTGTCTCCTTTTCCCAGGAAGGCTTACTCTTCAGTGCTCATCTTCCCCCTTGCCTCCTGTTTGGTGGAGTCATGTTTACCTTCCAAAGGATCAGAAAACATTTGGGAGCAAAGGTTGTCTTCCTCTCTCAGGAGTGGAGTAAGGCAGAGTGTAGCTTATGTAAACTCCCAGGTTCATAGTTTCTGTGCTACTCTCCTGCAGTGCAAAACAAAAATGGAACTACCACTTGACCCAGTGATCCCACTTCTATGAATATATCTTAAGAAGCCTGAAACACCTATCAGAAGGATATATGCACCCCTATGTTCATAGCAGCATTATTTACGATAGCTAAGATCTGGAAACAGTCCAAGTGCCCACCAGTAAATGAGTGGATAAAAAAAGATGTGGTACATTTATACAGCTACAAAAAAGGATTTCTTACCCTTTGGAACAGCACGGATGGACTCAGAGAATATTATGCTGAGTGAAATAAGCCAGCAAGACAAATATCACATGATCTCACCTGTAAGTGGAATCTAATGAATATAATAAACTGATGAACAAAATAGGTCCAGAAGCATGGAGGCATGGAACAGACTGAGATATCTCAGAGGGGAGGGTAGCAGGGGGAGATGGGATGAGATTAACCAAAAAACATATATGCATAGCCCATGTACAGAGACAACAGTGTGGTGAGGGCCCGGGGTGGGGCAGGGGCTGGGAGGAGGAGGGGAAGGGGGAAAATTGGTGGACATCTGAAATACTATCAACGATAAAATAAAGTAAAATATATAAAAAAAGAAGCCATGTCTAAGGATTTTTTCCTGAGATGGTATTATGGAGAGTGAACTGGTAAGCAATCTCTGTACCACATGTTCTTATTCGCCAACTTTATTGTTGAACATCCAGAACACCAGAAATGACAGACTGAAAAGAAAGCACCAAAAATTGCTACACATTAATACCTGAGCAGAGACCAAAGGCAAATATTCATCTATTAAACCCTACACCATAATGTTGAAACACAGATTAAAAACATTCACAACACTACAGAATACAATAAATTGCATTTTGTGAATTACAGCCAGTTAGTGTAATGATGTTAATTATATACCGTACCAAAAATACACAGAAAGTTACACGTAAGTGTATTTAGCACACCATACATTGTACAAAGCACTGGAAAAGGTCATGCATGTTTAAATGGGAAGATCTGCAAAGTGATAATATTTTTCAGTATACGCTACAGGACAAACTCCTTTGTACTTAAGTATTGTTGCTATGCACTGCATTTTCTGGGTGAGAACAAAATGATCAACTTGCAAACAAATGATTACTGAGTCTGTCTCAGCATAACACAGTGAGTCCTCCATAAACTTTTACCTATAAAAACTAACACAGGTTGACAGCCATGTATTTTATTACATACACTTTGCCCAAACTATTTCCAACTCAACTGGACCATGGTTTAAGGAAAGACGTGTTTTCTTTCTACAAACTTTTAGAGAAACTAATATTTATGTCTTTGGGGGGGGGG